TTGATGGATGCTCACAGTTGGAAGGTCGACCCCACCCCCCTTGGCACGCTGTGCCTAGGCTGGTACTGATGGGTGACAGCACAGCATTGTGGCGCTGCACAAGCCTGTGAGGAATCACAACCGCTTAGTGCCTGAGTAATTAGTAATGATCATAGTTAGTAACTTGATTCCACAGACATACAATGCTGAGTTCCTGTGAGTCCTTTAAACACTTTTGCAGGTGATGAGTGGAGGACCACAACAAAAACGAAGAAAAATCAAACATTAATAAACAGTCAGCGTCAACAAAAGTGGTGGTAGTGGCAGTAGTAGTGTTGATGTTAGTCTGCTTCGTTAGCAGCGCGGTTTCTTTTGTTTTCATTACTCCGAAACCCCTGAGCTGCATTGGCACGACTACTCTCTTGCACGAGTTGATTCTCTGATATAATGGTTGCAGTTACGGCCTGATAGCAGCTAAGGGCGGATATTGAAAACATGATTTCATGGCAAACGTAGTTTGTCATATAGATGAACATTTTGTTGCGCTGGAGGGGGGGAGGGCGCACTATGGCGTTCTGGGTGCGTAAGAACTTTTCAGACCGTTCATTCTCATATTGTCTTGCCTTTCTCTCTTCCTGTCTTTCTTCTTGCTTTCTTGCTGGCTTTCTTGCTTTTTTGTTTCTGTCTGGTTCTGTTGTTCTTGATCCCTACAAAATCCTAAAGTGTTTGTATTTTCTTGATCTGCCCTATCTTTGTTTTTGTTGATGCCTCTCCCCGGGTGATGAACATCCACTTGCCAAACATTCAATCGGTCCAGCAAATCAGCTCCTCAATCCTTTCCAGACTCTTAAAGCCAGGTCGTGAGTGGTAAGGCCCAGCGTGTGAAAATCGAAATGAAAAAGGAAGGGACCAACCTACTTGCGATGGCCTCCACCTAATAGCGTCCTTGCTACTAGTAGTTTGCACAACCTCCCGACAAGTCCGACTCATCTAATACCAAAAGCCAGACAAGTCCGTAGGGATCCAAACAAGTACTCTGCCTCTTGGAAGACCAGTGTTTGTCAAGCATCACGTGCAAAGGCAGGTGGCGTATGCATAGCAACTATGCATGCGTTTAGCTGTTCTGTTGTCTTGTCTCCGACGGTCAGAAACATCCTGACTTTGCTAGACTTGGCTCAAGAATAGGTCTCAAGTTCCAAAGCCCAGCCCTCTGTGCCTCAGCCGTGCATTGGACAGCCGCCCTCGTGCAGTCTCAGGACTCTCAAACGCACAATGCCTCGAGCTGCTGGAAGGTCGAAGGTTGATGCAGGGACTTTCAACTGTTCTTTTAAATAGAATAGAATACGCACACATCAAACACTTCGGTCGGAATCGTGCGACGAACTTGACACACCCATGGTTCATCTGCCAGAAGTGTCCAGCGTGATGGAAGTGTCCAGCGTAATCGTACGTGTCGCACCCAACTGTTGCGCAACTACTCAGCTTGCACATCCCCGAGGACAGCTCTGCACTGTTGCGCATCTGAAAAGCCCGATCGCCGTTCGGAACTCCTTTGGTTTGGGTGTGAGACACATGGTGAGCATCTCAAACACCGGGAACGTTCAACATGCCAGCAGTCCAAATGAATATCATATAAATGAATGAGAAAAAAAACATGGCCACCCCGTTGCCAGAGTGTCGTGATTGACCGTCATTGACTTACTGCATCGTGCATCCAGCTGCATCTGGCCAGGATGGCTACTAGTGGTCACATGTCACACATGGGTGGCATGAAAATGCGTTCCAAGAGTCTCGTGAAGAAATAGCTACCATCCTACCACATCCCTGGCTCCCTGCATCCCTGGTCCCTCTTGTGCCAGGTTCGCGCCTCAGCTGTCCTTTCAAAGGATGTGGCCATCGCAGCAAATGACGCTTCAACCTCAAGGCACCGAGGATTATGGAGGATTGCGCAGTGGACGCAGGTATGGCTGATTCCGGCCAGTTCAGTGGAACTTGGTCCTTTCTTCCACCATCCTTTGGCAATGAATAGCTGGTGGTGGTAGCAAGCTATGTTGAGAAGTATGCCGTCGCTACGGCGCTACGCCTGGTTCGCGCAATTTCGATGTGCTTGGTTGGGTAGTAATGACCAAACAAAGACTTGGAAAAGGAGGGAAATGGATTGGAACGGTGCTTTTTGTTGTTTATGCTTTTCTAGGTCTTCCACAGGCGTATACTGCAATCAGGTCTAAAAAGTGCAGGCTCAGTAGCTAAGGTCTTCGGAGACTGCTTCGGACCGTTGCAATGGACTGAAGTCCCAAACCCAGGGACCCAGCCCATCCACTTTTGTTGGGTTGCCAACAGCCTTCAATTTTGTTTATTGGAGGACATTGGGAAACAAAAACCCAGCCTTGGAGGAAACTCTCAGTCTTGGGGAGCGCTCGGTCTTTATCATTAGAATTATCATCTTTAAAGGAAACTCAGTCTCGGCTTGTGAGATTAGAAAATGACCCTTGATTCCTTGGTCAAGCTCCAAAGCCCCTGGCGCATGGCTCATGGATGCGCGGATGGGAAGAACTACAGCAGAACGGGTTCCATCTGAAGAGGTTTGCTCTCAGTTGTGGCTCTCCCCTGTGCTCAGGTGAAACCACTTAGGGTGTGCTTTTCTTTCAACCTCACTTGGAATGATGATCACATTTGGAAACACAAACGATCTATGTGTTCAAATCCATTCAACCTCTTCCCTTGAGACCCATTTAAACAATCAACAAAAACCATGAACTCCTCATCCCTAACCACCACCTGGAGTGCCAAAGCACATAAATGTTACATCTATGATATAAGTCTCTGAGCTGAATATTGACTATCTTGACTATCTCTCCTCCTCTCTTTGGTAGTCAATCAAGTGGTCAAATCTCGTTCTAAAGCACTAGGTCCATCCAACATTGACATACCGTCACACCGTCATTCATTGACCATCCTGGATTTGCGTCGTGTTGGCTTCATTGGAGCCAAGAATTGGCTCGAATCCGTCGGCATCGTCGGCCATGAGCGTTGAGCGGCGGACTCAAACAGAGAATCCAAGCATTCAAGAAGTGATCGTTGCGTGCCCCGGGGTGAAAGAGACCAGCTGGGAAAAAGAGACAAGTGGCACTGGAGTGGCACACATGCCGAATCTCACAAGCTGTGTGTGAGCCTTCAGAGGACCACAAACACTTCTGCTTCGCAATTGGAAGAAGTGCTTGCAACCATCTGTCAGCCATTGGCAGAGGGCAAGGGCCAACCAACCACAAGAAAGGCACCCTACCGAAGATCGCAGAATTTGGCGGGGTCGTTCCCGATCTTCACCACTCCAATTCCACAAATCTGAGGTGTCCACTTGTCGCCAGGGATTTCTATACTTTATATTGGATTTCAATTTGATAAGATATGGATAGATATGGCACATTTTCACGAGTTGTAGATTCGGTTCAGCTGGGTCCACCAAAACCAGCTGGTTATCTGTCCAACAAAGTTTTTAGGGTTCCAACGAGCCTTCGGGTTCTGATGGGTTCCCGGAAAAGGGGTCGAGCCACGAGACATCAACTCGGGTGATTTCGTCGCGCACATCCCGAGTTGATGTAGCTTTCCGACCCTCCATTGAGCAGCATCATTAAGGCATTTCCTTCATTCTGCAGCAGATTCTGCACATCCGATTTGATTTGTTTCCGTCTTCAAATGGAAAAAACAAAAAAGTAAACAAAGAAGCTGGTTCCGGTCACGAAAAAGAATCGACTCAGCCGAGAACTCGGTCAGCTTGGCCTCCACCTTTTCCAAATCGATCCCAACCATTTTGTGTTTGCCACACTTATCGAGTGCGCCAGTCACTGTGAGGAGTAGGTCCTCTCTGGAAGGAAGCCGCTGAAACAGCGATCACGGGCAACCACTTCAGAAATCGATATGTTCAACATGTTCCGACTACATCCATCTATGATTCTACCAGTTGAAAATCTTTTAGGTCTGGCTGGCCATTTTGGGACGGGGTGCACCCGATTGAAACGCCTTGTGCTAGTGGAACAAAGGAACCTCTCCAAACGCCCGGAACGAAATGGGGCGGAAATTTCAAGTGAGACCAGCGAGATGTCTGCAGGGCAACACAGTCTCAGTTGTGTGTCATCAAAGAACATCACGATGGCGGTCGCACATCCACATTCTCTACCCTCTGCTGCTTGCAATCTTTGGGGGTCGGCCTCACCAAAAGAATTGTTTTCTTTAAGGATGCAATGGATGCAACATCCAACAGCTGCGGCCTGTTAAATGCTGTTACAGTAAATAGATTTTGTTGATCTCAACTCTCGCTCACAAGTTGGACTGGCCGCCCTTTTACAGCACATCTTCATTGGCCAAATAACCTCTGGATATATTGGGCTGAAATGTGCTCCGACGCTCGGGGCAAAATTGGGCAAGATGCGCATACCGCTTGCAGCACCCCGCGACGAATCTTCGCACTGAAGAATTTTCCTTCGATGTACGATTGTTTGACTTGTTGGTGTGCTGTGACTCAACCTCCCACCAGAGAAAGCATAAGATTATATATATATATTATATATTTATAGTTATATATAATTATATATACAGTCTACATATATATATATACAGTAAGTGCAAACCGTTTTGTGTTGGAATTTTGCTAAATGAGTGATATCCCTATCTGTTCCGGGAGACGCTCTGTGTGAGGTGGCTGTAATGGGAGATCCTCTTTGCCATCGTTCAATCCACTATGGCCAACCTCCCAAGGTGGTACCAAATCCCATAAATCGAATCACACGAAATTAAACTTGATGTACGACATATAGGTATATACGGTAATACGGTATAGATATATATATATACAAACATTGTGGTCATCTACATACTGTATATCAATTTAATCTGCATAACATTTTGGGGTCCCCTCTTTAGACAACCTACAAAGCCCTATGGTACGAGACGATCATTACCTATGCGCCTGTACTACACGAAGCCACTCGTTCAAGCACAACGGCTGAACTGTCCTCCCCTCACTTCGACAAATCTTTGCTCTTTGTTTAGCCCCAAACATCGAAGATCACTCGGCCCCGCTCTTGAAGCTCATTAAGCTGACCAAAGCCCACCGCGGCATCACCACGCTCACCTGCGAGGAGAGACGATGGTGATGTTTCGGTCCGGCGAGGTGATGGGGTGATGGAGAGCTGCGGTTGGTTTTGATTGTTTTGATTCTGGGTGATCTGCTATGATACGCAAAGCCTCTTATAATATAGAGTTGAACTAGGTACAGGATAGGTACAGGATGGTACACGTAGCTTTGTAGGATGGCAGCCTGTGTAACCTACCCTCTTGTAAGTATCCCGGGGAACAACCTCTTTTCGTAATGGGCAGTCCTTATTTATCACCATGGTCGTGTTCAGGAAACCCTGCAACCTGTACAGCATCCTGCAGTGAAAGCCTCACCATGATGAGATGTTCAAATCAACTGCCATGGAGGGTAGGTTGTGAAGTCGTTCCAACCCGATGTTGTCTGTCTGCGTGCTGCGGAGGTGGCTTCATGTATTGGAGTTGTTTGGACTAAACCCGCTTTCTGAGTGGGGTGGGCGGGTGGCCATGCAAGAAAGCCCACTTGAACCGTTGGAACAGCACATACAACCAACAAGCACCCGGTTACGTTGAGTCATTGAGGATTCAGGAGTGGTTACTATAGGCATGGCACAACTCTGGGATATGTTATTTTTGTTGCTGATTTGTTTGCTTACATTTGAGTGAGTGAATGTATATACCATCTTCATAAACCTTCATAAACATATGTAAACACTTGTGATGTTCGCGTGGGATGCGAAGTGGAAGTAGACCCCACTTTCTGGAAACGAACTTTGAAGGCGATTGTCGAGCGAAGGCGATTTCTGGTGATTGGGGTGAATCAATTATGTTGCTGCCAAGGTGCAAAGCAAGTCGCCCAGGACGTTGGTGACATCTTTGGCCAAGGTTGAGGCTGATCCACAACTGGGCTTTGCATGACTTTGGCGTTTTTTTTCGCCGAGACTAGGCTGATCATGGCTGATCCAATGAAGGAATCGAAAGAGTTTGATTCGGGAGGATTTTGGCTGATTTGCGAATTTGGTTGTATTTTGGTCGGAGATTTCTCGGCTTATCATGGTGTTTGTTCCCAGTTTGATTGGCGGCGGCATACAATCGGTTGATCATGGCGATCCCAAGCCAAAGCACATGAACCATGCAGTTAGGGTATAGTCAGTGTATTTTTCAACACGCGGTTTGCTGATGCATTCATGCAGGAGGTTCATTCTCCTTGACGTTTGCACAATACATCGCAAAAAATATTACAATGAGGTATTTAATACTTGATATTGGCACTTAATATGATTGAAAAAAGGATATGGACAATCCAATGTTGATGATATCCGCAACATTCTGTATCTCATGTCCTATAGTTTTAGTAATCACCAAAGGTAAACCTTCATCATATAAGAAATAGTCCACTATTAGTGGTCTACCTACAGTAACAATCCTTAATGGTGATGCAGATAGGTCCAAATTATGGTTGACGAATATGTAAAAAATAAATACCATCAAAGATAAGGAGATATGCTGCTCATGGAGTTCATCATATATGTTGTACCACAATCTTACTTATCAATATGTGTTGCTATTTAGTTTATCAGCATTAGTTGATAATGAAGTCTTCATTGGACAACATAATCCTAAACCACTAAACAGAAAAGTGACCAGCAATAACCTAAACAACGAAAAAAATGAAACATGTGTGTAGGAACCCTCAACAAAACAAACATACTGTACATGTTCTATACACTTTATCATGTTTATTCTTACCGTAATGGCCAATATTTGTTTTTATTGCTAAGTAAATCTAATTTACAATCATATCCTTGTCCTCTCATCATAAGTTGTTGATGGACTCTCGTCTTTTTTTTTCAGGGATTACTATGTTAATAATTACAAACTATATCTGGTATATTCTAAGGTTTACATTGCACATCAGAAACTAATGAAGCATATTTGAGCATGTTCTTTACAAAGAAAAATCTATTGTGGATGGTCTTTGCTCTATCCTCATTCTAATGGTTCATCATTTGCCTTCCTTTATACGTCTACATCTTGAAAGAGCTGGTTCATTTGCTTATGATCCAAATACATGGTTTTCTGGAGTTCTGATTATCTTCTTAATGGCAACAGCATTTATAGGGTGTCTTACCTTTGGGACAAATGGGTTTATGGGGTGTTACGGTGCTACAGAGGTTACAATCTGTTATCTCCATTTCCATGTTCTATAGAATGGCTATTTCCATGTCTTCTTTGTGGTGTTCTTCTGTATCTGATATGTTGGTCAACATGTCTAATAACCCATTATATAAGTAATTCCACTAATAGTAAAATCACACATGATTAGTAAAGGTTTCTATGGAACGATATTAATTATCTATATGTATCTTCTTCAAATTCATGTTGGTTTCTCTTCTTTTTCACATCCAAATAGTACATTAGAAGCATGTGGATTACTTACTCCTTTACATATAGTACCTGAATGGTAGTTCTTATGCCAATATGATATGTTAAAAACTGTACCATATAAACATGCAGGACTCTTTATATTATTCTGATTCATCGTATTTTACTTTATGAGAAGTCTTTCATTCTATGTTGATGATGTTCACCAATAGATTTAATGGTTTTATCGGCGCTGTTGGTTTCTTGTTACTTTTCTTTTGTTTGGATAAGTGGTCGATGTCCTGTAGATAGAAAAATGTATATTATAATATACAAATCGTGTTCTTTTGTACCCGGCATTTGTGAGTCCTGTTTCCAACACATCCATAAGGGAACCTAGTTGGAGGTTGCCAAACTGTCTTTCCTGAACCCGATTTGTCCAAACGGATGCGAACATATTCGCCATGATGGGTCGTCAAACCTCCAGCAGTGTCCCTCGCTTTCGGGCTTTCATAGAGATTGGTGCCCTACTTTCTTTAGTGAGAGGTTGGGGACTGTCCTCCATGTTGACCTCTGATGCTACAGACTGGCAGACTACCACCAAAGCTCAAGGTTTAATTATATATTAAAGACACGAGTGTTCAGGTTTGGGGGTTTGGGAGCTGGCTAATTATTGATAATTCAAATGCTTCACGCATCCAATACATGATTCAGAATGAGTTTGATTGATGATTTGGTCCATTGGTCTCAGCTCAGGCACATATAGACATACCCCGACTGCGGGCCATCTCCTGCAACCCCGATCCGCTGGCAGAACGAGCATGCTGAAATCCCTTTAACGTGAGGGCCCCAACCTATCATCTCGGCAATATCCCATCAGTTGAGTCTGATATCTCGCCTGGCAACTCCATGAGAAAACCCAGGTCGTCCACAACTGGATATTCATCACCTTTCAACATACCACGGGTGTGGCATGCTATGATGGAAAAGACAAGCCTAGGGGCCCAAGATGTTCTGTTTAAGGGACGCGTCCATGGTCCTTCAGTAAAGAACTATCACAATCGGGAGACAAAAGGTTTTCCGACACATATATGAGCCAAGGACCAAACAAAGAACAGGACGCCAGGACGCCCACAAAATGTCCGAATCCGATGGCAGTACAATGTCTTGGGAGAAGAAGAACGGCGTGACCGTGACCTGTAAATGTCTCATCAAATATCAACTGCCAAGAAGACTCCTAAGCATGCACATCTTCGAAAAAGGATGAGTTCCACAAGTGCGCGCTCAAGTGAGCACGAAGCCATGTCAATCTTCTCAGTTCTGATTTCGGTCTCCGGTCGCAGTCCTAGTAGCTCCAAGACCAGCTCCGCATCACGGCGCAGGGCATGGTAGACATACTCCTTTCCTTGGAGCAAAAGGCCGAAGAACATTGAAGAGCATGTCTTTTTTATGCATATTTCGTTACAGAACGCCCACCCTTACTTGATTGAGTAGGTGCCTACTGAATTAAGCAAGGTCGACTAGTTAGCTTCTAGGTAGGATGCAGTCTTCAAGGAGGCTCCCCCTGGAGGGCGGGGGATGTAATCGCAGAACAGGTCTTCCAGAATAGCCCCTGCCAATTGGTGTTTTCGGAGATCTCTCCAAGCTTGTTGACATCATGTTGAGAAATTGTGTGACCTTGCACGACCGTTTTTGCACAAAGGCACAAAGGGAGTTGACTTACAGTACAGTATCTCATGTTTTCTGTTAAAAGTGTGGAAGGATGGGTAACTACACGACATGCTTGCGCTTGCAAGAATGGCAACAGTATCCAACACATTGGGAGGTGTGGAGAGGGTCATTTTCCAGGGCAGACCCAGTTGCAAATGTATCACCAACTGCTTTGGTATACAAGGGCATGTGCTTGCAAAAGATTGACTCACTGGTCAAGGTTAAAGACCTGTGCGTTTTAAATATCTTATCTAAGAGATCCTCTCCAAGGGGATTGCTGGATGACCCCCCTTGAGAGAGGGGTCACTTCGGTCACTTGGAGACAACACAATCATAGCCAAGCCTAGAGCCGAGTGCAAAGGCTGTCAGGAAATCTTCAGAAACTTGTTTTGGTAGGGACGGTACAATGGTTGGTTTGAAACTTGCTGGTGTTGTTCCGATTGTGCCCGTTGTCGTGACGGTGGCTGTGCCGGCGGCGGTGGCGGGAGGAAGCACCTCTCTCTCTCTCTCTTTCTCACTATCCACCTATTAGTCATCTACACGAGTATATATAATACTATATAGTATGATATATATACATATGTTTAGTTGTTTATTTATAAATAACTATATATTATATGGGGGGGGGGGCAATAGCAAAAACCTGTCGCAGAACAAGAGGCATAGCCCACTTTCACCCTCATCCACCATCGTCCCTTGATCCTTGCCCGCCCCGCACACCTCAGCATCTCCAGGGGTCCACCGTTGGGCGGTCTGGAGAAAGAGACCTTCAAAGAACATAGACCTTCTGCATGCCACTTCCTCAGAACGGTCCACAAGATCTGCAGGTTCTCGCAAGGGAATTACACACCTGACGAGTTAAAGAACCTAATGACTCTCATGAGATTCAGCCCCTCAAACTGCAAACGACTTCAAGAGAAGTGCTCACACATCGGCCAGGTATCTCCAGCTGCGCACGATGCAGGAAATCCGTTTCGTTGCGACAGCCGAAGTAGAGATGCACAAGACCCGTCTGCACGCCTGGACGACTTCAGGGCCCTTTGCAGGCGACCCCGGAGCACGAAATTTGCAGAAGACAATGGGGGGTGAATCTACAGTGCCTTTCAGGTCAATCCAGACATGTGCGCACAAATGTTGCAATGTAGCACTGTAACTGTAACACACCCTGAACACTACCGGCACTAAGGATCTTCCCCATAGAAGCTGTGAGGATCTGTGGTTTGGTTTCAATGTTGCAGTAGCCATTGAAAAAGCTAAAAACATCCATAGACACCACAAAGTGTATAGATATATGATAACTATATGCATTTGGTTTCGCAGTTCTGAACATGATCAGTGAATGGTTGAGAGCCGGGCAGAGATCCAACTCTTGGAATTTCAGCCAAATCTTTGGTCAACCACCAACACCCAGAGATCCTGGCTTTAATTTTCATCGGACATCAACTTCATTTGTCCTACCAAGTGCTCTCACAATCGATTTGCAAACTTCCATCAGCCGCGCCTGTCTTCTTCAACACATCCCTCTCCTGCAAGAAGCCAAAGAAGGGAGCCAGTCCTGTGCCTGCACTGATGTCAGGCGCTCACGTAGAGCATGTCTTTGAGATTGACCAAAGATCCTTCTGGCTATGCACACCAGTCGGGGCCCTTGTGCAGCTTGATTTTCTCATAGCTTGGTCTTTGCATAAGGATACCTCTGAACTGGTGGGTTGTCCATTATTGAAGAAATCATGAGACCTTCCCCCAATTTGGAGACACTCTCATCTCATATGCAAGGGCCGCTCAAAAATGTTCAAACCAGTTCCACAAAAGGTCATGGGATGTTTTTGTTCGAGGCCGTTCCCCGACATACGCTATAGTGAGAATAGTGAGTTCTCCCATTCCCATTCCTGACTCATTGTCCTCATGAGCCGTAGACTTCCAACATTTTGGACCAGTCTGAAACCACCCAAAACACATTGGTGGCCTAGGCAGCTCATTATGAGGTTACGACCAATGGATGGGGGCCTCTGACTCTCCAAGTGGCAAACGATTTGCGGATGGATCAAGAACAACGGCTTTGCTTTCCAGCCAAGATGGAAAATCCGTTGCTTCGGGTTTGGTGTCCACCTTGTCTATAGTCTATATACAGTATGTTGTTTGTAATTATTTGGAACCATATCCACGTCAGTGAGATTCCAACTTTGCCAAGTAATGGCTTTGACCACTTGCTTTAGGTGATTAAGCACACTCCTTACATGTAGTTCCTCGAACTCTTCAGCTCTCCATTTGCTCCTCCCCACCTCCGCAGACACAGGCAATCGGCTTGCTGTGATCCTCTGGTAGCCTCGCACGAGGCTAAGAACACGTCCCTAGTTTTTCTTGTTTATGTTTTTTGTATCGGGAGATGAGAACAATTGAGAACATCTTCCGTTTCTTGGTACTGGGTTCAAGAAAGTCCGGTCAGACCAACTTCTCCAAAAACCCAAACATCTCCTTCATGAGTGACCCACATAGCGCCAACTTCCACAGGTCGAGAAAGTGGCAACAACACAGGTATGTCATCAGGTGCGTAGTGTGTCCTAACGGAATTCCATGATGGAGAGGTGTAATCTGATCCAGTTTTGAGCCGCTGGAACAGGGCGCTTCTTCAGAAAGCACAATCACAACATATCGCAACAAAAGTTGGTCAAGCCGGGTGAAGACATCCTAAAAGCCCAACCCCAACAATTCTTGATATTGATGGAATGCATCTTGACCCTTCGTCAGCATCGTCGCGCTTTGATCCACAGATCTTCCAGGTCCGAATGTTCCTTCAGGAAAAGGCTTGAAACCCGACAACCCCAACACCCCTAACGGTATCTAACGGTATCTAAAATCCACTTGTGTTTTTAATGTTTTCAGGTGATATACAATAATTGGTGTCTATTCGTCGTGTGTCTGGTACATAGTATACCTCATACTGTCATAATGTCTCGCGTAACTTGTAAAGTATACAGAAAGTGGTAGTGGTTTGTGAAGAGAATCCAGGCAACTCCCTCCATGCGGCCTCATATGGGGCGCTTCTTTCACTCGGCAAATTACTGACTCAGCCGATGCAATCATTGAGGAGCAAAGGCCATTCCTGCCGACTGATCAACGTTCTTCGACATGGGTTCCGGAAGAAAAGGCTGAATTTTCAGGGAAGCTGCCCGGTTGAGGGGCAGACTAGCTGTCTGAGTTGAGTACGTACAAGGTCTTCAAAGTGGTCACTGGTTATCTTAATTTTGTAGAACGCTAGAACTAGAACACCCATTGGCATCATAACCAGAATGGTAATCACATGTGCCACCTGGCAAAAGGACGACGGAGCAACATACTTGTCCTAAGAGGTCCACTTAGACTCTGAAAGAGCTTGAAGCATGTAAGACGGTTGTCCGGTTATCCTCTACAAAGAAGCGGTTTTCAAAGTACAGTATTACATTTGGGTCTCAAAACGGACCTTGAAGGCACATTTTTGCATATATATATAGTTATATTTCATCGTATGGCATATTTCCTCAAAAAACTGGTTGGGCTCTCCGCCCTCAACATGAGGCGTGCATGCCGGGCCGGCCCTCCAGTTTAAGTCACAAAGAAGACTCAAACAGCGTTCGTACCAGTTTCAGAACGGCCGAAAGAGCGACAAGACCTCTGGCCGAAAGAGTTTCAAGAAAGGCTTCTGGTCGCTGTCAGCTTGATATTGCTCTTCTTACCTTGCCTTCGTGTCGCAAAGAACAGGTGAGTCACGGTGAGATGCATTTCCACGATTGTTCGCCCGTTGGCAGTCCATCTTGAGCGTACCCTTGGTTCTGGTTGGGTGCCTTCCATACTTTCCAGGCATGCGTGGATTCGGCAGTCAAGTGTGTGCGCACCGGCTGTAGAAAAGACCACCCACATATTGATGTCGTGACTAAGGATCTTCTTATATAACGGGTTTGCAATAGCCTGCCAACAGTTTCATGTCTTCGTTTTCGCTCACGAAATCGTGCGTTCGAGAGTCAGGTCTTGATTGTCATTTGTTCACGTCGCGTGCCACGAATGAATAAGAAACTGCTTCTGGGGAAGATGCAGAATCTGTGGGACCTCAAATCAAGATCGCAGAGATCCGCAGAGCTTACTCAGGTTCCGACGGTCGGCAGGTCCAAGAGCCAAACAGAACATACAGATGCAAAAATAGGCCACAATCAACCGTGCGCTTGAAAACAAGAGCCTGATGTTGACTGGCTGATTCAAGGGTTGAGCTTCATAGGTGGCGACTCGCATGCAAAGCTCCACGTTCCTCGGGAGTGGACGTGAGGCAGGCTGGATGGGGTGAACATCCACGCATTGCCGGGATGGGGACGGGGAGAATTTCCAGGACTGATAGGAGACTCGGCCGTCACTCAAAACAGCCGTCACTACGGTCGCACATAATTAATCAACTGCCTTCTGATTCAGCGTGCCTGTCTTCCCAAGCTTCTCTTATCAAAACTGCAAAACAGGCGAAACTGAGGGTCTTCCGCATTCCCCATTGTTCCCCATACTAAGCTTTGCGATTCAAAAACAGAAATCATCAAAACGTGTTGCACCGCAGGTAGGGGCTAACACCAAACCAACACCTATAATCTATATAAACAGTGAAAAGGCATCACCGTTTAACTTTTGAATGTTGTAAGAACACCACCAACCAAGAAAAATGCGAGGAATGGTGAGGATGATCTTTAAACCATACACCCAATCAATTACACCACCATGAGATGCAAATTGGGGTTCTGGAGTTGAGGGTCTCGCCAGCCGAACCCCCCTTGGGTTTCGCACGTCGGCCGACGTGTTCCAAGCGTCGTGCCGTGCGCCCTGGGCGAGGAAGCGATCGAATAGAGCCGCGGTTGGATCTTCGGAGAGACCTCGACAGTTGGATCGTGGGACAGGGCTGTCGCCAGTTGCAGTCCAGTTTCTTTGGCACCAATGCTGCCACTGATGTGAGCGCACAGTCAGCCAGGATACAGGACTTAACATGTCAAACGTAGTATGAGATGTCGAGGATTGGAATGGATGGGATAGGTGGGGTTTTCGAACAAGTCCAGATATACCTGAAAAAGCACCTGTCAAATCCAGAAAGTGGTCGTCCGGCTTCTTCCTTTCCACAGTCGATGTGCCCGAGCATCAGTCACCAAGAAACGATTGTCTGTCTGTCCCTGATATGACGGCCCATCAAGACCCTCACAGGAACAAGCACCTCTTTGGCATGATTTCAAGCTTTCATGGATGAACCACTTCCCCTCTGATCCCCTCGCACCTCCACAAAACGTGAAAAACCAATGCTAATAGATCGGAATTCCTCCAGGACATCCAGAATCGATAAGCATTTCCTTAAGTTCAGCAGCGGGACTGGTTCTTCAAGGTAAGTGAACAACACTCCGGAGAGTATTTAGGGCAATCCGCAGACTTGGTTTGTTGGTTCAACAAATAGATCAATAACAAGAAGAAACTGTGTGTAATCATCGTGCAAGGTGTGCAAACAAAAATCATCCATGGGTATGACATGGGAGTAAGGGTGATATTTGCTGAAACAACCCAAACGGTATTTCGTAACAAATACACGTGTTCTATCATGTTTCATCTATTGAACTCTTTATACCATTGCGACGTCATCTGGAACAAATTTTGTGTCCTGCAAATGTTGGTTCCATAGTTTGTGTCGTTTCTTCTTTCAAAGACACACTGCCATATTATGTTTTATGTAAATATGCATAAAACGTAGACAAACAAATAGGTAACACATATATATATATATGTACGTGGCAAGAAACTATGGCACTTCACAGGAATTGAAAATTGGAGCCCGGCACATGGCCTTGCCGACCCCCTTTTCAAGGTGATTGTAAAGTAGCTGCCAGAAATGGACTATTGATGTAACTTCCCCATTGAAGCGCCCAGACTTCCTCGCCGTACCAAAGAAACCCTAAGAACACTGCTGCCACTCTCTTGGATTCTGTGCAACATCTCAATGTGTATTCGGTTGTGGGTCAGAAACGTGGCAAATGAACCTCCTAGAAAATAACAACTAGATGCACTGTTGGTTTTGTGAGGCCCACCACTGTGACGTTTTTGCGACTTCCAACGACCAGCGTCGTTTTCCAATCCTCGTAGGGGCCATCCTGTTTGATTTCACTCAGGCGCTGGAGAGCATCGGCCTCACCGCTTGGACGGAAAACCCGGCTTCTCTTTGGAAATCAAACACCGATTCAGCCCATCGTCATCCCAGTTTCCTAGGCAAGAATATGGTTCTTAGAGGTTGCTTCCCATACAACAGTTAGAAATACAACATATATGTCATGTATGCATCAACCATGAAAGCAATATTTTCTGCACACAAAAGCCGAAGTCCCACAGACTATTATATATATAGTTTTTACAGCTACATTATTCATAGTACTTGTACAGAGTGATCCATGGTGACACAGTATAGAGGAGTATAGAAGGCTTAACTTAACTTTTGCACTTCGACCTGTTTGAAAGCAACTGTTCTTGGCACCTCCAAGACCTCCATAAACACTGTGTTGATTTTCACCAACAGAGAAGCTTCGGGTTCTTCTGCCACAGTAGAAACACCGGAGCAGATCGGAGCGGGTCCCGGAGCAGGTTCCGGGGCAAATTCCGGGGCAGGTTCGGAGCAGGTTCCGGCATTCTATCTGGTATTTCTATCTGCACATTTTCTGGCATTCTACCTGGCATTTTTCTGACGTTCTTTCGACATTCATTTTGACATTCTTGCTGGCATTCGCTTTGACAATCTTTCTGGCATATGTTCTGCCATTCTATCTGGCATAAACTCTGGCATATTTTCTGAGATTCGTTTGATATTTGTTCCGGCATGTTTTCTGGCATAGATTGTGAGAGTATATCTGGCATAAGTCCTAGCATTCTATGAGGCGTGTATTCTGGTGTGCTACTAAGTGCTGACATTCAATTGGCACTCTTTCTATCTGGTTCAGGTCCGGTGGTGCCGGCTGCGATCTGGCGCTTGCGATTCAGGCCAGGTGGTGCACACTGCGATCTAGCACTCGCAGTTGAGGAGGATGTGGAGGAGGAGGAGGAGGACCGGCGGGAGAGCTCTGATGAAATCTAACAACCGTCACCTGGCAGGTGGGGAAAAACAATATAAACATTTACTACGTAGTTGTTTCTGCATTAGGGACCAAAAAAGCACTCCAAACCTCGATGTTTTTGATCCTCTGCACGCAAGTCTTTGTTGTCGTGGGATCCAAACATGTTTATTTTTGCAGTGCTCCTTACATGTTTGCTGCCAATATGTCGATATTTACGCAATTTTGAGCATGTTATGTTACCAGCAGTGGTATGTTCATTCAACAATAGCAAGAACGCTGTACTTTGAGATGTTGTTGTTATTTGAGCATCACGAACTTTGATCCAACATCAATCAAACATGATCAAAAATCGACGGAAGCAGCTCAAAGTAGCTTATGAGGCCAAGGCTGCCTTTAGCTTTTTGATACGCAACGACTGGTGAACGACAAATGTGACTTCTTAGTGGTGTTAGTTTTTTCTGGTGGAGGATTGGTGATGCAAAACATGTTGGTGTGGGGGGTTCAGTGGCAGGCAAGCCAGCTTGGCGATGCCGTATGCCGTTACATACGGCATGGCCGGACTATACGCGACTATACGGGGCCCCGCCGACCCGCATCTTCTGCATCACCCGCTCATCAAACACTATCAGCGAGAAAGCAAAAACACAACCTATTTTCGAGATGTCCCCCCCGGGAGCGCGCTGCTCTACCATGCCCCTTCAATACTCGCTTCGTTGGCAGAAACCAATATTTGCATGCGCAAGTACAACTTACAATGTATTTGTGCAAAATTGTGAAAATGCATATAGCTGCTAGCAATGTATGCTCAAAACTGCGTGGTGTTTACAGCAGAAGTGCAAGACACACTGCAAGAAAACATGTTTTTTGCTCCTAATGCAAAACACCGTCGCAAATACAATGTTGGCTCCCTACTCCAAAATCACTGACAAATACCGTGTTCTTTTTTGACTTGCGGGCGCTCTCACCAAAAACGTGCTTCACAATGTTAAATGTTAAGAAATGTGTTCTTCGCGCGCACAACAACACCAACAACAAACGCCGACAACACCGACAACACCCTAATTCCATCGCCGGTGTGTGAAGCTCTACAGTATAAATATGTATGTATAACATTGATCACAAGTTTTGAAGGATAATATGTTCTAAAAAGTGAAATAAGTGAATATAGTAACATAGCATCATATAACCTTATACAGTATATAAAATGTGTGTATTCTTAAACCTATCAAGGTCAAATATAGTTTTGCATGTTTTTTTTTCTGTGGACATAGTCCAATTCGATATGGATTGGGATGGCTACAACCAAGCTTCCGTTTCTTCCCACCCTGCCTCCTGACCTCTGCTTGCCAGCCGTCCCAAAGAGGCCAGCGCCTCCTGGGAAGGCAACGCCTCAGAAGGCGAAGCAGATCCAACGTCATGGGACCCAGGGACGCCGGCTTCATACGAAAGGGCTTGGATGGTTCCTGTCAAAGTGAATCAGCAAAGCTGCAACGCAGTTGCGAAGGATGCAGGCAAACAAATAAGACTCATTTTTGATCATGTTTGTATCTACGACGCTGAACTCACATCAGGAAGCCCAACTGCATCAACAAATTTAATGAATGTCCTGTGTTGACACACAAATTAAGGCTGTTGACCAAATCTATCCCCACACAAACCCCCATACAAGTGAATTTTCTGGGGCTTCACGGACAAAAAGTGAGCCACTGCGGTGAGGCCGCAGGCCCTACACAGCTAACCCGCCACCTCGACTTTCAAGCTTTTTACACCAAGCAGGAGCTCTGGTGCTGGTTGCGCCTGGAGGTCCACGTAGTAGGTGAGAATCTCCCCCACAGAGATCGGCTGCCCTTGCGTCTCAAGAGCTGTTCATCCAAACCATTGGCTGGTGGACAACTGGAGTGGATAGACTCCACTACTGGTGTGGTTTGAATGATGGCTCACCTTAGGTGACTATCGATTCTGCTCTTGTCTCCATTTGCCACGAGGGTTGGGTGGTGTTGTAATCTAATTGCTGGGTTCTCCGAAGCAAAAATTATATATAACAACATATATTATATAATATTACTATGTAATTGTATATATATATAATTATATATTATATTCTACATGTACATCAAGCAGGAAGGAAGATCCCCTTCTCTACGGCAGCCGCCCTAGGACTGCAACGGCATCTTTTTTGCGAGCAAGACAAATTCGCTCAATATCTGTGTCTCCCTACATCTGCAAAACTCAAGACCCAGATCAAACAAACTTTTAGGGGATATCAGGGGCACATCATGGTATATCAATAGCCCAGCTCCTAAGTCTTCGACTCATCAGCCAAATGGACCAAAAGGGCTAACCAGCTAACCAGCTAACCTCCGTGGAGAAGGGCTCACCCTCAGTGACCTGTCCTCTCGTCGCCAGGGCACCAATTGGCAACTGTTGCTCTTCCGCGGCACCGGCAGCTCCTTTCTTCAGAATCACCTGGAGCTAGAAGCTACTAGGGGCTCCTGGCCTTACTACTAGGAGCAAAGAAGCTACTAGGGGCTCCTGGCATCGCTACTAGGAACAAGAAGCTACTAGGGGCTCCTTTCTTCAGAATCACCTGGAAGGCTTGGACGACTCGTGACGGCCACGGCGGCTTCGCCATCAGCAAACGCCGTCGTGCTGAAAAAGGACGGTGTGCTGAGTGGCTCCAATCAGCCGTGGAGGAACAGAGTAGATGGATTGCCGTCTACAATGGTTCCAAAGCATTCCAACGCTGATTCCCCATCAACTCTGAGACTATTGCGAGTAGCCTTTCCAAAGGTAAGCGCAGCCAGTGTCCATTGAGTGTGACTTGAAGAGGGTTGCCTGGACCCTGTGGACAGTAGACATCTGTAGACTGAAACTTGAGGTACGAGTGTGTCCACGAAGGTCCTTTTTAGAACTTTTGTACATTAAAGTTGATGGCATATATATATATATATGTACATGAACAACCTCGATTTCTCTCTCTGGTCACCTGATATATATATATATAGAGACTGTATATATGTATATGCATACAGAGTATATCCATAATATCTGTCCAACTCTCTGCATATTCTCTGTCACACCCTGGAAGGAAGAACTAATGACACCTGCTCCAGTAGTTGGCTCCAGTAATCATTGCAACCCATCAGTGATCATCGGCACCACATCGCAGCTGAGTCACTAAGGCATCAGACTGGCAACCCAAGCGCATACACGCACGCATGACCTGCATCGGCAAAGAGCGGGATCCGCAGTGCAGGCCAAGTGTTCCTTTGCCAGTTTTGGAGGCCGAACGTGAGGTACTGAGGTTTGCCCACATGGCCAAGTGAGTCACACTGATGAAAAGAAGTCAAGACACCACCAAACATCGAGAATGTCCTGATGTGACATCTTCCGGTGGTGCGGGATCTCATCCAGGTGGGGAGGACGGGGGAGGAGCTTATACCATCAAAACAGAAGAAATCTCCCACGTCCCGCAGGCCGCAGGTCCTGCCTGCGCGGTCGAGTTCTTTGGCTGGACCTCCAAATGGTCGCCTAGCGCAGACTCGCGCAGGACTTGGAGGTTCAACGCAGTTGGGTGCTTTCTCGCTGTGTTACACTTTTGTCGATTATAAAATATATAGTTATTTATATATTTATTAGGCTTATATAGGTGTTAAAGCTTTCTCCAGTGTTTGCAGGTGATTGTGGCTTGATGGTTCCAGTGCTTCAGTCGCCGTCCAGCCCATCTAGAAGGATCCCAAGCCATCCGAAGCGGTACATTCTGCAACATGACCCACAATGACCGCCAGTTTGCTCAGGAATGGATTCTGGAGTTCCATAAGAGCAGATGGTCCCACCACCTGGTTCAAGTAAACAATCATATGTTGGGGGGTCCTACGCGAAAAGCCCTGACAAATGATCCTACCATCAGTTTTGACAATAGCCGGCTCGTGAGACTAGCCCAAATGAAAACTATTAGTAAGAATCTATTCCGGCCACCCAGAGTTGTCGGCAGTTGAATGCTCTTTACATCGAAAGAACAGTTTTTTTAATATACCCTTGCTTGGCAACATGTTGTAGGAAGTAACTTCCCTCAAACCTGCATGCAAACGCAGAAGGAAAGAAACACAAAAACACTCAAGCCTATCCTTATCCATATGAAACCACCAAAATATATATTGACTCGAACTCAGAAACCTGTGGTGCACCATACATACACAATCATACACATACTCCCCCTCACCTAACCCTTCTCAACCAGCCAAGATCGTTTCCACCGATCAGGTCGAGTCCTGCGCGTCCTGCTGGACGGGTCCCGCGCGTCGGCGACAGAATCGCTCCAGGTCACCACATGCATAGCTGCAGCCATCCGGTCGTTCCACCACAATCTGCTTAACTGACGGGCTCTCAGGACCGCTTTGAAAGCAAAGTTCCTGTGCCCGGAAAAGGAAAGAGCTATCAAACGGGAAGGGGAAGTGGAAGTGAGTGGATGGAACATGATGGAACCTTGAATTGGGCCTTTCAGTGAGCCTTGGCCTAGGTGGCTAGGCTTGAGGACTTGGATTTGCTGATCAAGAACAGAACAACCTTGCAAAGGAAGAGTTATCCTTATCCTCCAGATCATCAAAAAGAGGAGTTTCTTACTGGAGAAGACTAAGAAGAGTGGAGACCCAAACATCGTTTCATTTCCTTTTGAGGAGGACCTTTATGAGTGATCCTCAGGACGCACAATTCCAGTATGCAGTCATTCTCCGTGATTTTGAGTGGACCCAGAAGTCGTGTGTCAAAATAAGGTTGAGGCTCCAGAAGCAGTGTGTCAATGGGAGGTGTGTCTGTTGTCTTCTTTTGTTTGTCAAAATCTCCAACTTCTCCAGGAGGATTGGCCATGACCCTCATGACCCTGTTTGGAGAATTGGCAGTCTGTTCTAGAGTCTTTTTGAGAATTGAACCTGCACACGTTGCTAGCAGGCCAAACAGGACCAAACAGCTCAAATGATGTCAAATGGTTGGTTTGAGTAAGGCAGGAATTGGTCCGATAGTATGTCTTGCCCAAAAGCACTTTTGCATCGACATATCCGACATATCCCAAAGCTGGAGGTGGTGCAGCCAGAAAAGGTGGTGTGGTGGTGTGGTGCTTCTTCCCAAATTGGTTCTGGGCCATTCTTCATTCTACAAAGTACCAGCTGGGATTATTCATTCTCCAAAACACCAGCTGGGATTGCTTGAAGGTTTGGCATGTTTTGTTCGTTCGCTTCCGAATGTCCTTGTTCAAGCCGATCTTGCAGTTTTGATAGCCCATCCTGGGATGTTTGGGATCCATCAGGAAAATGTGCCTAAGACACAGATCCTGGGAGCGAACCTGCGGAACCTGTGGACTGAGGGCATGCCAGACCATGAAGCAAACCCACTGAAATACCTACCTCCAATCTGTCTATATGGTAGAAAATTACATCTTTTTATTGGTGAGTCTTTAAGAACACAGTGCATTGGTGAGAAAAAATCAGACGCACTTGCTACAAAAGTGGTGAATTTAACATAAAAAATCAAATAGGTAAAAACACTGTCAAGAAAAAACAAGGGGCCACGACCTTTGTTTCTTGTTCCTTTTATCAGTGGGTGACTGGGCAGCAACCTACACAGCCATGATTAGCCATATTCTCGGCGTGTCTCAAGAAGGGAGATGCATGGTACTTCAGAAACTAGACGAAGCCTCAGTGGTTCTGGGAATAAGTCCGCCTTTGCTACACCCACCAGCCAACACTTTCTCGCCGGGAGGCCGCAAAAAGTGTTCGCTCATTGGTATGCTGGACACACTTCCGGCCACCCCTTCCAGTTTCAGGTTCTCCTCAATTACCTGGAGTGGAAGGAATCTTGGTAAAGCAATTGGGTCAATATGCGCGGTTTCTTGAATACGGCCTGTGGTTCATGGATGTACAGCCTGTGGTTTACAATCCAGGAGGTTGATACATACTAAGACTCGTATGGGATTTGTCATCTTCACTGAACTGTGTATTTAACATATAAATCTCATATACTACGTATGTATGTATGTTTGTATGTATGTATGTATGTGTGTATGTGTGTGTATGTGCGTGTATGTGCGTGTATGTGTGTCTGCATGTGTGTCTGTATGTGTGTATGTGTGACTGTATGTGTGTATGTGTGTGTATGTGTGTGTGTCTGTATGTGTGACTGTATGTATGTATGTACGTATGTATGTGTGTGTATGTATGAATGTGTGTATGTCTGTCTCTGTCTGTCGGTATGTATGTGTGTGTATGTATGTATGTACGTAGGTATGTATGTACGTATGTATGTACGTACGTACGTCTGTCTGTCTGTCTGTCTGTATGTCTGTATCTATGCGCGTATGTATATTATGGTATGGTACATATTAAAACCAAGATGGAGCCCACGCACCCGAATGCAAACACGTTCGGAAAGCTACATATGTCCAAATGACACTCTTGTAGGACACTCTTGTGGGACACTCTTGTAGGCCACTCCGGTGGGTCACTGTTGTAGGACACTCCGGTGGGTCACTGTTGTGGGGCACTCTCACGGAACAATCTTGTGGGACACTCTTCTAGGACACTCTTGTGGGACACTCTTGGCGCCCACACTCTTGTAGGACACTCTTGTGGGTCACTCTTCTGGGACACTCTTGTGGGACACTCTTGTAGGACACTTTTGTGGGACACTCTTACGGGACACT